AACCCAGTAAACTTGTAGTAGTAGTGGGCTTTTGAGGCCCGTTAGGGCTTCTGTCGCGGCTACCGAGGCAAAATGATGTCTTCACCCCCCCCCAACATCTTTCTTTCTCCTCTCTCTCTCCTTTATTTATGTGAAGAAGAAGTTTTTCTTTTTTGTAAAATCTCCGCCGCCGAGTTCCGAGCTGAGCGTGATTGTGAACCGAGGTGGATTGCGGGCGACGAGGCGGAGAATCGATACGCTACGGTAGACAGAGTCGACGAAGCGAGCACTACGGTGCTACAGCCGAGGCGATACAGATCCGAACCCAGCGCCGAGGCAAAGGAGTTGTTTGCGAGTCGAACTCCGACGCCGGGGTGAAGAAGTTCTGTGCCACCGAGTCGAGTCTCGGTTGATAGGGTGGTCACGAATTTCGGCGAGGACGAATTCGCCCTCTCCACGCCGAGGTGGTTCTACCGAGGCGAGTTCGGTTTGACCGAGGTGGATTCGACTGAGGTGGTTAGATTCGATCGAGGCGAGTTCGGTTCGACCGAGGTGGATTCGACTGAGGTGGTTAGATTCGACCGAGGCGACTTGAAACGCCGAGGCGGAGGTTAGCAACCGACGTTGCGAAAAGGTGCGAGTTGGCGACGGGTTGAAGCRTTTGTGGCCTTGGTCCCATTGACGAGCTTTTTCTTCCGGTCCAGCTTCTCAACCGAGGTGAGACGTCATGTCGCACCGACGCGGAGCGCATTGAGCCGCCTGCTCGGACCGAGGCAAGATCGTCCTCCGAGCTTGACAACAAGATCGATCCGCCTGCTTTGTCGTGGGTTGAGCCGAGGTGATATTTTAAAAAGACGCCGGGGTGGATTGTGATGGCAGAGAACCCGTCTCCTTTGAGTCCAAGGAATCGCCCTTTTGAGGCCGGTTCTTCGTACGTTTCTCCGTGCTTAGAAGACTTGGATGGCTTAAGAGACGGTCTTTCACTTCCCGGAGGAAGAGTCATCCGTACACCTGGCTCTGACGCAGGTAGCGSGACCCACCTAATCTCCCYTGATATCGCAGCTGCCRAGGTCTATGAAGAGGATGACATTGTCAAGTCAGAGCAGGAAGTCGAAGTGGAAAGCGATGTTAACTTGCCGGCTACGCAGATTTCCACGAAGAAGAGGA